TTGGCCAAGCTACTCTCCACGAGCTCATCATCAAACTTCTTTCGCTTGATGGACCTGAGGGACCAAACGGATTTGAACTGGCAGTCGCAAAAAAAAAACTGCACAGATCAATTCCTTCTAATTTTCTTTATGTACTGGCTATTTGATTTTAATACACAAATGCCTTACTTATACCACAAGTAGCAGACAGTCCTGGATCATAATGAAATGGTACATCAGATATTTTTGTTATAATCAGACAGACCTGGAGGAACTCCTGCGTTTAGGGACTCCCCCACTGAAGGCTTGAGTGGCTGTTCTTTTGATATCTTTACCACCTGCAGACTCCTCGTCTTCTGAACGGCTCTGCGCGGTTGTGCTCCCTACTGTTGTACCCCCAGCTGCTGCCTCTGGAACCCCTCCCTGCATGTCTAAAAAAAAAATTATACAAGAGATGCGATCTACAGCATTTTTTTAAACAAATATTTTTTTCTCTTTTCCAGGTTTTAGTATACATGAACATCATAGAAAACCTTGTGTGACCAAGGTCCAAACATCATATTTAACAACTAACTTTGGCTTAATAAATATTTGATCCGTTTGAAATTATGAAAATGTTGGGTAAACCAGAACGAACAACAATAAAAGGACGGGACTGGATCAAAGTAAACGTCGTCAATAATATGTCGGAAAAATAATATACCTCAGCGGCCGTCCATAAAACACAGCGTGTTAAACATTAACCAGAAGCTTATTACAAATTATTTTGTATTCAATTTTTGGTTTACTATCTAGTTCATAATTCATGCATACCTTTGTCCATAACCCCAGGCGCAACCGATCGTTTACACAGCCAAGCAGAACATTCAGGACGATTCGCTTTCAGTTACGTTCCTTCAACAACAGAAATCTCCAACCTAAACACAACGTTTACACTATAAATGAAGCGTGCAACAAGCCAGCTAACCAAGTTAATTTTGAGAAAATTCTACTTAACTTAGCCAACTTCCAGGAAAACAAGTCAGCCTGGGTACACAGCGGTGTATATACTGATAATTCTCAAAATAAATATGTACAAATACAACGCAAATGCATTTCAATATTGCTCACCGTATATTACCTATGTCCATTTACCATGGCTAGCTAGCTAGCTATTGTGTCTTCTTCTTTATTTTACTTTCCTTACCTTATTGCGAAATGCTGATAGGTTCAGGCAGTGGTCCTATGGTTGTTTTTTATTTCGTGTCCCTTAAAAAATAAACTTAATCTCTCATTTAACTTTAAACTCCACCTATCTCAAATCATTTGTTGACAATAACGTAAAATTCAGCACAAACCTCCCATTATCCACATCCGGAAACTTCTGGAAGTGACGCAAAGTTCCCGTCGTCCTCTTTGATATCCGAGACGCAAAATGAGGATAAAAGGACATGCACACTGCCACCATTTGTTTCGGAGGGAAATAGGCGCGTTCTAAGATCTTTCTTGGAGCGTTATGGGACGTAGAGGATGCCGTAGACACGGTACATACATTGCAATAATACTGTATATATAATACAACTAATGTGACTTATAATTAATGTTACTTTGGAAATCGGTAATTTTCAACATCTTTCAGTTATTGTTTTATGTCTTCAACTTCAATTTCCTCTTCATGATATATTCTAAATTCGTATTATCTTCTTTTGGCATTCATTGAAATACTACGTAAAATTATCCAAAAAGTAAGCTGGGAAACATGCTGATAATTCTCTGAAGCACCAGCTGAGAGAACATATTTTTACCTTGACTTCGTTTTGCCATGTTTTATATCTTTATACCTTGATAAAATAATCACTTTTACACTGGTCCAGTGCATATCAATTACCTCGATTACATTATACATTTCCAAATATCTTTTTCTATCCTCCAGTATTCTCTGGTGGCTTTTGTAGGCCTATTAACGTTTAAATGATTTAACTCTTGACCAAGGACCATTACATTTTCCTTTGAATATAGCGACCCCTGTTGACCTATTGCTACCGAATGGAGCCACATATGCACATATGCATTTTTGAATAGTATATTATTCAAAAATCGGCACCATTTTTTTTAAAGTTTAAAATTAAGCTTTGCCTTCAACTGACTTTGTACTCAAATCGGGTAGCAAACGCCTGGAAGGTAAAACAACAAACAAACAAACAAAAAAACAATAATAATAATTGTTATTATTCGTCACAATAAATAGATTCATTAATTAACAAAGAACGAATTAAAAAAAATACATACAAATGTTGCATATATAAATACTATAATTCTGGTAAGGCATGGATCTTACATATATATTTTCCTGCACTTTTACAGCTTCACTTTTAAAAGTCCATTTTTACCAGAAACCAATTCAGAGAATCTGGGATTTGCATTGTCGCTAAGTAACTGGGGAAATGTGTCTGTTGATTTTAGTACCAGTCTACAAGACAATTCAGTTTTAACGTAGGTCTATTTATCATTTGTCATTTATATCAATCTTTTGTTGGGTTATGCGGTTCCTATTCAATTAATTTTCCTTCATGCACAAAGTGAGCTCTTTTGAAATGAAAGGCAATTACTTCCCTCTGCACAACCACTTCATCCAGCTCCTCTGGGGGAATCCCGAGGCGTTGCCAGGCCAGCCGAGAGACATAGTCCCTCCAGCGTGTCCTGGGTCTTCCCCGGGGCCTCCTCTAACCATGTGACAGGAATTCATGACTGTTGTGCGATTTTACCGTGGAGGCAGGGGGAGCAATTGCACCCCCTACTGCTCAGACAAAAATGCCAATTGAACATATTAAGTCCAATAAAATTATATTAGAAAGTTATATTTCAAAATGAGGCTTGTGTTAGTCATATCAATGTGTACTGATAATTTATTGTAAATATATTTACTATTTTTTTAATGTACATGTGTAACTCAACTTGGCATAGCCTATGATGAATTACTGGTTAGGCTCACTCACCTTGCACCCCCTGGGAGAAAAGTTGATTTTATATATTGAAATATTACAAATTTCGCAATTCAACTGAGATACGTAACTGACAAGCATTTTAGTTTGCAGCCATAGGCTAAGGAAGCAAAACTTGACACTTCAGACAATGGAAGCATTCATAGTGGATGGTCATGCTTCATGCTTCTGGCTAAGGACACCCCAGGCGCAATGTGCTGGTTACAGGGACTATCGAACGCTGGTACTTGGCGCCAGTTGCATGGTAAGGAGTGGCATGGTAGGGACCCCTGTTTCTGCCCTCAGGTGAACAGCAACAAGCTCCTGGCTTTAAGGGTGAGGAGCACTTCAGAAAGAATCATACAGCTGTTTATTTAAATTGATGTTTACTATGTTGTCTAAGCTAAATCTTTTAATAATCTTAAAGCTTTTGTCATTGATCTTGGTTTGTGGTTTGTGCTTGACCAGTGATTCGATATTGGATTTCCTTCCAGTCCAGGAGTGCTGGACCTTTGGGGAGTAAGTGGAACCGTGGAGCAGTTTCAGGTACCTGGGCGTTCGCATCACTGAGGACCTGACATGGACAGAACACATCCGGAGCCAGTGCAGCAAGGCAAGACAGCGTCTCTACCACCTGAGACAGCTGAAGAAATTTCGCGTCTCTACTGGGATCCTGAAGTCGTTCTACTCCGGTGCCGTGGAAAATGTCCTGACCCAGAACATCACATCCTGGTATGGAAATAGCCGTGTCCAGGACTTAAAAGGACTGCAGAGGGTGATTCGGGCAGCAGAGCGCTGCACCAGATCTGCTCTGCCGTCTCTGCAGGACATATACACCAGGAGATGCCGGAGCAGAGCAATCAGGATCATCAAAGACACGACTCACCCCAGTAACTGTCTGTTTGAGCTGCTGAAATCAGGCAGGCGCTTTAGGAGCATTACGGCAAAAACAGAGAGGCTCAGGAGGAGCTTCTATCCTCATGCCGTAAGACTTCTCAACCAGGACATGACACCACTACCTCTCAAATATCATACAGCAGGTTCCTAACTGCATGGACAATCTACTCTCTAAGGCAACTTCAATGCACACTGCACTTTGCACAACATCACCTCATGCGCCACCACTTGCCACTATTTTGCATTTTGTATATGTTGGATATTTTGTTAATTTTTAATCTTATTGTCTGCACTTTATATTTATATTACCTTATCTGCACTTTTTTTTAATCTTTCTCTTTTTGCACAGTCTTTGGATCGGTCAGGGTTCATTTCACTGCATGTTGTACCTGTTATAACTATGTATGTGACAAATAAAGAATCTTGAATCTCTCTCTTGAACCTGGCTGGATATCCTTCGGCCCTGCTGGCCTCCCATGGGACAGCCTGCCTTGCCTAACTCAAAGAAATTCATGGACCGCTGAGTACCAGCCCACCCACTTACTGTAATAATCAGTTCCTGCCCTTGCTTAGCCATGGGGTTCTCTGTACCATGTTGCCAGTGGTAAAAATAAAATCTGCTATCTATTTGTTTAAACCACCATATTTTTATGTCCATAGAGGGAAATTTGACATAAAACTGAACCCACAGATAAGCAGGAGAAATTCTCTAGTCTGGATGTACTAATAGGATCTTTGGGGTTTCAAATCCCCAAAAGTGAGTCCCTGTATCAGAAGAATCATAAAGAACGCAAATAAGGTGAGACTGTTTTTTCATCATTAAGTTTTGCTGTTACGTTACTATTTCTGCTCTGGCAGCTACTGCTCAAGAACTGCATGGGAAAGAACATTATATGGAGGTTAAAAGACTGTTCATGTGCTGAATCTCAAAGCCTGCAATACTGTTCTCAGATTGTGGAGTGGCTGCAGGTATTTTATGTTGTAAATAATAAGTGTTGTACCCTCGTAATGTGGTGCATTGTGTTTTCGTTAGTGTGAGTGTCGTCGATTGCTGTGCGTACGGCTGCTGACGCCTCTGACAGCGTGTTGTGAATAAATGTGGAACTTCTGCTCCTTTTTACAAAGAGCGGTTTCCCAATTATTATCGTTTAAAATTATATCTTCCTTTCAAACAATATCTTGTATGTTAAACAGCTGAATGTGCTGTTGGACTGGTTAGGGGCTTCCTGGGGCTTGAAGCAGAAAGCGGCATCTTGACCTCCACATAATTCAAACTGCACATGCTGAGAGCCAGCCGGTTTTTACAGTATAACTTTGTAGCGTCCGAGGTTAAGGCGACTGTATTATACCACTTTTTAATTAGAGAATACTGCTGGGACTCGGGTAGCTCGGTCTGAGAGGCTCACCGCACACGTACCACTTTAATTAATCAACTTTTTCTTTAAAAAGAACCCGTCCAACAACACGTGGCTGCTGCCTTTTCTTAACAAAACTCACCCCCCCTCGCCCGGGGCAAATACTGTCCTACTTGTCACAACGTCACCAAGCGTCACGCTACTCACTGAAAGATGCGTTAATTCGTCACATGACTGTGGTGTGTTTCAAAACAACATAATGAGATCAGTTTGCTTATTTACCAAAGTCTTAAATCGGCGTTTCACGCTGGGATACAACTTCTCTGTAACTACGGTAAACCTTTCCTAAAGCTTAGGAAAGCTTGGAACATTGAAGATATATTTTTGAAAAGTGGTGTCTGTAGCATGTTTAATTCAGAAAGTTTTTCAACCTCTTTTGCAGAATTTATTCGAAACTACCTCTGCCCAGAGCAGGTGTCAGTGTGACTACAGTCCTGACAGATTAATTTAACATCGACCCACCCGTCTATCCATTTTCTACACCGGCTGGTCACACGCAGACCGCGTCGTGGACTGATTACACATAAAACCAGCAATAAAAAGGGGATTAGAAACTGATGTTGTAAAAGTGCTCCAGATAATCATTTCCAGAGTTCAGCCAAAGCTGAACAAAGGCTGATCAAAAAAAAAAAAAAAAAAAAACACTGACCACAAGTAAAATGGGTTATTTGCGTAGCAAACGCCACCTCGCATTTGCATTAAAGTGGATGGCAAATATACAGAAAAACATATCGCACCGATCCCAATGTTTAAAACTGCACTTTTAAATTATATACACAGGACTCTTCAGTTGAACAATAGGAGCGTACTGGCAAGTTTTAATAACACTACCAACCAAGTTATGGCTAATACGAAAAAGTGTTAATTTTTGTATAAAAATTAAATTTCCAAAATATTTTCGAAAATTAGCACTCTCCAGATTCTAGTTTTTAAAAATGTAACTTCCTGATGTCTAAAATATTGCGCTATTCGTTTTAACCGTCATTCTGGTTTTGATAGTCGTACTTATAATCTTTAGAAATTAATATAACTCGGGCCCGCCCATCCCCACGTCTTCCTTTCGTTTTCCTCATAATAAATCATAGGTTAAGGAACTATAGGATTGAAGTAAATTGAGGCTGGTAAGTGCCGGGATTTGTATTTATCGACACTCACCTGGACGAAGATCTGCACAGAAGATCAAACAGGCAACGAAAACTATAGCTGACTATTGTCGGAACCAGAGGGGGGAAATACTCAAACTAAGTTTTATTGGTAAGTCAAATAATTGTTGCCAAACAGTTTTAAATTGATTTAAATTGAAGAATGTTATGACTAACACATTAACAGACAACTACAAAAGCATGTTATGTGTTATGTAGGCCTATTGATTTTACCATTTTTCTTTTTTTTATTTTTTACTTGTTCTTTTTAATTTTCCACATAAAACATTCACTGACACTGGCCCACTTAAATTAAAGTAATAAAAAAAGATATATATACTAAAAGGGGCGTTTGTACTTTGTCAGTCTCAGAGTTAAGCATATGTTTTTTTTTACTCTTCTGTTATGGCAATGGGTTTTTTTTATTATTACAATAGCCCCTTCCCTTAATCACAAAAAGTCACAAAAATATCGAGCTACGCAGTTCCACCTTAGTTCAAAAACGTCCATTTTTAGTTGTAAAATTGCCGTCATTCGCTCCAATGTATATACACTTTTTAGTCTTTGTACCCACTTAGTGATTAATGGTGGTTTTGTTTCCTTCCAGTTTACAGTTATTATTTTCTTGGCGATCAATAAAAGTATCCGTAAAATGTAGCTTTGGTCTGAGCTATATGCCTCCTTAGGTATAGCTCCCAAAACGAATATCACTGAATCTAATGGGGTTTTCGTTTGTAGGATTTTATCGGTTCCTTCTTTGACTCTTGTCCAGAATCTTTGGATTATTCGGCAGTCCCAAAAAATGTGTATGATCTCCTATTTTTTCACATTTTCTCCAGCACAATTCCACATGAGGTTCTTTGACGTAAGAAAGAGATTGTAAGAGGTGTATTAAAATACCTGATTTTTAATTTCCAATCAAATTCTCTCCATAATTGGCTATTAATTCCTTCATGACAATTTGTACATAACTTCCCATAGGTTATCTGTAATTATAACATGCTATTATTTCCTGAAGTTCGGTAAATGGCCTGAGCTCTATTCCATTAAATGGTAAATTAATTGTGCTAAGACCCTTGCTGGCCCACCTTCTGAATCCACTATCCCACACAGCAGGAGGAAATTCTATACTGCCAGCATTGGCATGGCCCTTGAAACTGATAATGGGCCCCAATCTTTTTTCTAACCATTGTCCAAACCTTCAGAGAATGGTTTATCCATTCATTTCCCATTTTAAGGTTACTAACAGATTTCACATTAATAAAAGGCAGTGTTGATAAAAGTATGCCCTTAGCTGTACTCTGTTCTGTCCGGATCCACCCAGATTCCTGATCATTTCCAATCCATGTCACCACTGCGTTTAACTGTGCGGCCCCATAGTAATATTTAAGGTTTGGTCAGCCCAGGCCCCCCCTTTTCTTTTGGGAATAAGAGAGTTTTAAGTCTTATCCTGGGTCTTTTATTCTGCCATTTCCTTCCTTTAAAATGTTTTGCAAGGCTTATCTTGTCTCTCCTCTTTTACTTTTAATTTCCAGTGTGATTCATCATCTCCACAAAGCTTTTTACATAATGGAATTAAAATGTGCAGATTTCTTCTTTTTTTTTTTTCTTTTTACTTTTAAAGGCAATTCTCTCTCATTTATAGATTATAAATAGACAATGTAGATTGATTGTGAGATTTATCACTGACACTGCTTCCCGATGTCCTAGTTTGGGGAGGGTGTGTAATTAGACAATTTAACAAGTTTAAGCATTTATTTTAAATGTGCTTCTTCTCCCTTGTCAAAGAAATGGTGCCTCCTTCTCTGTATGTCTGTCCTGTTCTCGCCAAAGGCATGGCAGAGCTGTTGCGGTCGCTGCTGCGTGTGTCGGAGAAGGCGGCTAACGTCGCTCGCATCTGCAGGAAGGAGGCACCGCTCTTCCAGCTGCTAGTCCAGGAGAAGACAGGGGATGATAAAACCAAGAAGTTTCTTCGGGATTTCAAAACGCTGGCAGACGTCGTGATCCAAGAGATGATCAGACATGACCTTGTTGCCCAGGTTAAATAATCGACAATACCCTGCAATGGAACGGTGTCCTTGTACTGTGCCCCCTAAGATCGGTTTCAGGCTAACCCATGTTTTGTTGAAGTTATGATCTTAACATTGAATTATGTTTTCGCACAGTTCCCACAGCTGACAGGTTTTATTTATGGAGAGGAGTCCAACAAGTTTGAGAATGGTCTAGGTGAGTCTTCTCTCAATGATGGTCACATGCTTAAATGCATGTTCTGCACTGTTATCACTGTTCGTCTGCAGGAACTGAATGCAGACCTGCTTTGTGTTCCTGACCCAGGAGAGAGCATCCAGGTCACAGTGTGTTCCTGCGAGGAGCACACTGCAGCTCTACTGGCTACAGTACTTGATGGGTACCAGGCAGCTGCGGACTTGCTCGCCCAAGCCATTCATCAGGACATTCAGCTGATGGATGAGGCTGCAGAAAGCTTGGAGCTACTCCTGTGTCCCAGTGAAGTGGCCATATGGATCGACCCCATTGGTAACATCAACACCCCACTGTTCCTTATAAGCAAGATCTGGAGAGGTTTATGTAGGAACAGACTAGAAGTGCTTTAGCCAGATATCAAGAAACTGTGGGAAATTAGCTTCCTTAGCAGGTCTGAAAAGTTGTGTGCAAATCCTAGATCCTTTTTTTCCAAGGGTGTAGGTTTGGGGTCAACATTGGTAGAGACCGAATTAGCCTTGAAGTCTTCGCCCCCTAAACTTACAAAGTACTCCCACAATATTGGTAGGGTCTCACTGTCCAAATCTACACCTTTACATTTTTCCTCTCATGGAATGTTTTTACCTCAAAGTTCTACTGTTTGTTTTGTGCTTCAGATGGAACTAGTCAATACATTGAGGGTCGAGAGGTTGTAGTACCAGAAGAAGAAGTGTGTCCATCTGGACTTCACTGTGCCTTGGTTCTTATCGGGGTGTATCTGAGAGCCACTGGAGAGCCTGTGATGGGAGTCATCAATCAACCCTTTGCAGGCCAGGGGTAAGAAGAGATGCAGATTTTTAGCCAATGCCAAGAAATTTATGAAAAACAGAAAACTACTTAAAGCTTCACTTTTTTTTGCAGCTTGAAAGGCCAGCACTTCTGGGGAGTGTCTTTTGGGAACATCAAAGCGTCCTCGATATCCAGTCTGACACATCGATCAGAGGAGGTCTTGTCTATAGTGCTGAGCTCCAGTGAGAAGCAGAATGTGAAAGATGCTTTGTCTCCCCTTTGTGGTGGGAAGGTGAAATACGCGTCAGGTGCTGGATATAAGATCCTCTGTGTCATCCTGGGTTTAGCAGATGCGTATGTCCTTTCAGAGGGCAGCACCTACAAGTGGGACTCCTGCGCCCCCCATGCCATTTTGAGAGCGCTGGGTGGGGGGATTGTTGATCTTGCTGAATGCATTGGCTGTTTGAAGGAAAATGAATACAGACATACACAACTTACGTACCACCAACCAAAGCCTGGGAGCCAAGGGGCAGAGTGCTGGGCCAATCACGGTGGACTGGTAGCCTACCTGAACTCGGCTAAGCTAAAGAGGGTAATTGGAGCTCTTTCAGGCAAGGTATGAGCACTAAATATGCTGCAGAGTAGAGATGGAGGTACGCAAAAATGGCTAGGATTTCAGGGATGCATAAACGCTTGGTTTTCTGTGTCAATGAGTAGCAAAATCACACATCATGGAAACATTTATGTCATATAGAGGAGAACTTGCATGGCTCCCTTAGAACAGCAGCTGGCAGAGATTGTCATGCAAACATGGAGCTGCTTTGACTTTTAAAGGAACCATGTAAAGTATCTGCAAATGCAGCTTGCGGATGACTAAAGCCACAACTGTCAAGGGCTCGGAAGCGGGTGAAGCCCAAAAAAGGGAGTGACCACGTGTGCTAATTGTCCATTTCAAAAAGTTTGACTGTCCCTGCATTATTGAGAGCTACAGAAAAGTAGCTCGGAGTTTAAAAGAAAAGGACAAATTTTATAGTCATGAAACACTTGTGCTTATTTGAGCAATCTTAAGTAATTAATGGATCTACTTTTTAGCAATGGCTTTGACTTCAGTGTTTTTAAATTTGTGATGAAATTATACAAAATTTAATAGAAGACTTGATGGTCCGTAAAGTAATGACTTGGACTAATTTCCATTTCTTCCCACTTACAAAGTGAGCACATTGTTTAATTCATTGTTTATTACCACAAATGTATACATCAAAAAGGCAAATACAAAAAAGCAATGCTGTACAAGTCCAGTTATTGTGTATATTTCCATTTACATTTCCCAGTTAAAGAGCATTTTAAATGCTGGCTATACATGGATATCAGGAGATGACTGGAGAATTAAGGGATCATGGGCCTGCTTGTACGTTCAAGGTTTCATGTCCGCTGGGGAAGGGTGGAACTGGCTTTCGCCTAACAAAACTAGCTGCATAAAAGATGCCCGTTCTAATTAGGCTGGTTTTTACAACCCATTTCACTGACTGATGTCAGAGAAAAAAATAATTAAATCCTGGTCTTGGGCAAGAGGCGCTGGTGAGATAAAAATTTCAGCATAAGAACATCCTTTGAAGAGGAGACTGTGGGTTTTCTATTGGGCGTTCAGTGGATTGACTCCGTGTCCAGCAGAAAATCACTCTATAAAAAGCAGAAGTGTCTAAAGCAGGACAAGTCTTCAGTTTCTCTTATGCACCTGTTCACAGTCCCATCACAGAAGGAAATACATCATTATCTGTATAAGAGGGAAAAACACGGCATTTTGTTAGGGACCAGTTCCGTAGAGTGTAAGATTTGCATTAAAGGAACGGAGATGCTCACTTTTGGGGCTCCCCTGGGCTTCCCCGCTGTCGTCATCCGGGACCTTCCAGTCCAGCTGGCGTCCCTTTTCGTACAGGCCCTTCAGCATGTTCCGCACCTCATCGGTTCCACCCCCACGGCTCAGATCCAGGTACTTCCTATACAGCTGCAGCGCAGTGCGTGCATCCTCTATGCTGTCATGGGTCTCACTCTGGATCTTCAGGTCTTGGACAGGCAGTAACAGCATTACAGTGAGATTTCTTGTAACTCCATTCCAAACATTGCTTGCTGTATTTGGTACTATCATAAATTACAGTAAAAATCAGTGCTTGGATTTCCTTGTATACAAGCCTTGTTCATTCCTGTAGTTGAAGCAACAGCATAATTGCATAATGAGTCTGTTAATCATTTTGATTGGATTTCTTTAGCTCAGGCAAACCAAAGCTTGATGACTTTAAAGCCATATTACACTGGGGAAAATGGCAGCTTTTGTTAACTGAATTTTGGACAGAGTGTGTAGTCTTTATGGGTTTTGGCTTGACTGAAGGTTAGTAATGAGATGAACAAAATCCCTAATTTATCTCTCAACGAAATGCAGGAAGAAAAACAATAAAGATCTTAAGCTAGCTGCTTCATAGCCAAAGATAATCCTTGGATTTACAGCAGCTACTGGTTAGAAATTGTATGCAGTGTTAACAGGGAGAACAGAAGAAGCAATGCACTGACCAAGAAAATACCAAGCCAGGAAACGAAGGGAGATCATCCTCTTCCGGGGCATGTGAAACAAATGCACCGTGTCGATAACCTGGTCCTTCAGCACCTACACCGAATCAGGGGGAACGCTGATTAACCAAAGTCACTGAGAGCGGTCACCCCACCAAAGAGCTGAACCTAAACCCTACCAGCAGGTTAATGACCCGAAAGTCCTTCTGTAGCCCGTGGCCCACAAATCGAACCCCAGTGTCAATGAGGAAGCGCAGCTTCAGGTATGTAGACTTGAGCGTTGTCAAGTGCTTTGAGGAAATCTTGGCGTCCAAGTCCCCTGGCTTGATGCCTGAGTACTGTGTGAGGTAGTCCACTACCTAGAAACAGAGACAAGGAAGCCGTTTAAGACACTGTCATACAAAAGGATTCTGTGGGGGTTCCCTTAAATAAGTGTCCCCCAGCAAACATCCTAGAGATATTTCAGATGCCATCAAAACTTGACGGGATGCAAGACTGCCAGAGTTGGTCTTGCCACTGCTACTCGCACCCTTAGTGCTGGCATGGTCCTCTACCTGCTCCTGTGTGGAGATGTAGTCGTCGATGAAGGGAACTCCCTCATTGGGGCCCTGGCCACGCACGCAAGTGATGCGGGCCACGGACATCTGGCTGGGCTTTATGGTGGACTTGGTGCCATCGCTACGCAACTCTGCTTCTTCCTGTAATGGTCAGAAAGAAAAATGCAGAAGAGTAAGGAGCCGGAGAACCGTACAGGCTTTTTATTACACCGAGATTAAGAACTAGGCAACTAGAAAAGTTAGGGAAACAGTCAAAACGGACTCGTTCAGAGTGAGGATCCACACGCACAGACCTGATTCAGAGTGACAAATTCGGCATCTAATCCCACTAGGTCACCGGCCTGTGGCATCTCGCTAACCATGAGGGGGATGAAGGTGGCATGGCTCTTCCTCTGTTTCCTTGCCAGTGAGGCCTCAGCTAGCAGCACGCTGGCCTCAATCGGGTTCTTAACTGGGGGGATGGGGGGGAGGGGCGAAAAAGCCAGATCTCAGGTCACAGAGTTTCAAGTTGCTCCAAGATGACAACAAAAGTTGTAGCACCACAGGGGGCTGAAAGAACAAAGAAAGCTTTGAAACCCAAAGTGGGTGTGAGTATTTCTGCGCTGCCAATAAACCCTGGTTCAACCAAAAGAAAAACCGTCCAATGGGGAGCGGCGGTGCTCAATAACCCCGCCCCCTCTCAGTCACACAAGGATGTAATCAATGCAAAGTAACACTAAAGCCTGGTAGTAGGTGTAGGGCTGGGGGCTTACTGCGAAGGTCATATTTGGTGTGGTAGTTCCTCTTGGCGTAGTATAATATGGCCGGCACCTTCCAGATAATGTCAAATTGAGTCGCCTCTACCTAGGAGACACAAAATCTATGTCAACACAATACTACACATTTACATTTTACTGTAAAAAATAGCACAAAACTTCACACTAAGATACATATGCCATCAGCATCCTGTCTACATTACTTTACATACCTTTTCAATGGGTTCAATCAAGAAGTCATTGAAGAGGTACCACTGCTGGTGTGTAACTCCCTACCAGAGAGACCAAATAAGTAAATAAAAAGATCAAGTACTCAAAAGAACTCAACAGTTGCACCAAAATATCCCCGAGAGGTTTTCAGATCCAAATATCCTCAATAAAAAGTTGCAATTATTTGGAATATGCATCTAACCACTGAGCACTGCAGTACAACACGAAGAACTTGCAGCAGTCTTCTGGTAGTTCGAACATGGTCTCCACTGACCTCTTTCCTCTGATGGTAGGTCTCTCCCACTTTGATGTGTGCCACTAGATTACCACCTGTGCGGGCATCCAGCAGATGTGGAACAGTAACCACCAGATCATAGATAACAGCACCCTCTGCCTCTTCTGAGGGACTCAGCTGTAAGGTCACATGAAAGTACAATGTCCTTGTAGGTCCTACGTTGTTCCCACCCTCAAAACGTCCACGGCACAATACACCAATGACTCCGTCACTTATCGTTATTAGCATCATTGTCTTAGCTTGGCAGACATTTTTACCTAAATGAAATTCTAAATAATTCCAGTCTGTCCCCACAAACATGTAACATGGTAGATTTCAATTTTGGTAAATATGTATATAATGGTCCGAACCGTGTATCCCATCAAAGTACAGCGACTGCCTGCATGCTAACCCTTACACCTGGCGGTCTTTACAGACGTTACATAAATAGCTTCCCCCTGCTGTACTCCTTTTAGCCTCAAAGGCCCTCCTCTTGCTCACCTCCTCTGTCTCACTCCAGCTGGAAATCTCCAGTCCCTGGCTCTTGCTGATACACATCTTCAGGCTCTGTGGGATCCACACGTGCCTCATGTCCTCAATGCTGTTCCCAAAGGTCAGTCCTTCTGGACAGTACATTTCATCCCTATGCAGAAACACACACCGTGCATATAACGAAATATGCAAATGGAGAAATACAGTGGAGGTTAATGCCTCAGACTTGCCTGTTTAGAGCATAGTCATGGTAACTGTGCCGGAATGAGTGTCTCGGTCCATTCGTGGATTTCTGATTGGATATTCATGCAAAACCCCACCTCCCGGACCCTCGACAAGCCCCGCCCCCAGACATACTCCACACACCACTCGCTAGGAGTGGGCTCCTTTGGTGTTGTAGGCCCCACCTCCTCCTTTTTGGCCGCCTTGCTGAAAGCATACTGAAAAGGCAGAGAGATGGAGATTGTTATACCTCCCGGGAGAGAGGAGGAACTTCCATCGCGACTGTATGACGACCCTGCTCCTCTACACTCTCTCAGGTCTGATACCATCTACTAATCATATGAGGCAGGCATTTTATGGGCTCCCCTCCATTCTGGTCTTCTGAAGGGGGCAGCGTGTGGCTCAGTGGGCTAAGCCTGTGTGCTTGTAATCACAAGGTTGCTGGTTCAAACCCAGCCTCAGCATGTCTGTGGGTCCTTCAGCAAGGCCCTTAACCCCCAGCTCCCTGGGCACCCCAACAGGTGGCTGTCCTTTGCGGACAACTTACTACAAAGAGCAAGTTGAGGGAGGTGTAAAAACAATTTCCCCACGGGGATCAATAAAGTATCTATTATTATTATTATTATTACTCACTTAACTCCCCACCAGAACACAATATTCTGAATTGCTGATGCACATCTTCAGGTTCGGGG